GAGAGAGAGAGAGAGAGAGAGAGAGAGAGAGAGAGAGCCCTGATGCATCCAAACTTCGAACCTGTCTGAATGTATCTGGCGTTGTCAATGCGCCAGATACAATCGAATGCTGTGTGTGTGTGTGTGTGTGTGTGTGTGTGTGTGTGTGTGTGTGTGAATAAGTTGGATCGAAGCATATCGCTAAACCTGACCCGAATTCAAACCGCATATACGGTCAGGGTCGATGAGAAATGCCGTCATGGAGGAATTGAATATTGGATTTTTTTTTGGTATTGTTATTATGGAAGTTAATGTAAATTGTTTCAAGTATTTTTATTTATCTATCGGTATGCGAAACGACGTAGACAGCTGTAATTAGAATTTTTTTTTAAAAAATACAATAATAATTAAATGAAAATGATAATAATAATAATAATGAAGGTAAGCGTATATGTAAGGGCTCGAGAAAAACCCGAAGTGTTAAATTAAAAAAGTTGGCGAGTGACGTGGTGATACACTATAGCGATGAGGTAATAATACTCAGCCTCCTGTGATGATGAGTCATTAGGTAAGTGAAAGGCCGACGAATCAGTGCCTCGTACCAAAAAAATAAAAAAATAAAAAAACCGTGCCTACGTTTCTTGCTCTTCTCTAATACCAAAGAAAAAAGAAAAAAAAAACAACCGTGCCTACGTTTCTTGCGCTTCTCCCTTTTCTGCGTATACGAGAACAAAGCTGTGACACCGACTTCCACGTACTTGCCTGAATGTCCCATCGCCAGCTTTGGCTGGATTTAGGCTCGCCAGTGTTTAGATGCAAGAGGCGAATAACGGGATAGGTTCCCCGGGGTGAAGATCCCTCTTTTAACCCAGGACAACCAATTACCATGCAGTTGTCAATATGGCTTTATGTACATTCTATTTGACGATATATACGTATCGTGATGAGTAAATCCAAAATTAAAAAAAAAGAGGATTACGTGATGACAAGGTCATAACGACAAAAAAAAAAAAAAAAAGGTCATAACGACCAGCATCAGCAACGAACATCGTGTGTTGTTTGTACTGTGCTATAATTGATCAAATTCGCATTAATGCACAATTATTGGTGCACAATTAATGTGTTCAAAAAATGAATTAATCCGAGTATGTGTGGCCTGTGGCTGAGCGGCAATGATGATGGTATATTATTGTGGCAGGTAATTTTAGACAGGAAACGTTGAGGGCAACGGTTAACTAAACAGTTGATGAGCAGACGAGACTCCGACGACACAGTTTGTCACAGCCCCTCGTTTGTTGTCCTCTTCTCCCTCTCGCTCCCTCTCTGCCTACGGTTTACCGGGCAGTTGGGTTTGACGAGGGGGAGAGGGAGAAGAGGTAAACTATAGGCAGAGAGGGAGAGGGAGAAGAGGTATCGTCGAACAGAACTGACCGGGAAACCGTAGGCAGAGAGGGAGGGGGAGAAGAGGACAACAAAGAAGGGGTTGTGACAAACTGATTCGTCGGAGTTTCACTGACTCATCAGGAGGCTATATATGCTTGTATGTGGGAATCGTCATCCGGGATTGTCTTCCCTTTTTTTTGGTTGTCACACTGTGGACCGGAGCTTTTTTATGCCTTGTTCTGTGATTTTGGCACCCTTGTCTGCACCCCGGTTGGTTTAGTTCCGTCGTTCGGCTTACGGTTAGAGCCCCGTGGCGGAGATTTCATGTGGGACTTGTCAGCCGGGGT